GGTCAGTTCTGGCAAGAGTCAGTTCATCCAGCACCCTGCGCAGACCATTGATGTCGGCCTCCACATTCATGCGCAGTGCCTGCTCCGTCTCGAACCTTTTAGAAGAAAGTGGCACTCAGACCAGAGTTTCCCTGTATTTTTAAGGACTTGCCCACTCCCCTAGAGTTCCAGGAATCCCTGGGGAGTTTTCTTTAGGCCAGCTGGGGTAGGTGAGGAAGTCTCACACAGCCCTGGGATTGCCCTCCTCCTACCCTGACCCCCAGCAGCCCCATCACAGACTCACTTGGTCCGGAAGTCATCTGCAGCCAGACGGGCATTATCAATCTGCAGGACAATCTTGGAGTTCTCAATCGTGGCACCAAGAATCTGGAAGGCAAGGGGTTGGCACCAATTCAGCACACATATGCTCTTTACCCACTTTCTCCTCAGAAGAGAAGAGCAAATGAATGCAGGCCCCGTGGCCCAACCCATTCCTTAGAGACCAAAGCTCCTGTGGCCTATTGCTGCCCATCAGCCTGCTCTCTGGGCGGCCTTGGAATCAGTCCAGGCCTAGAAACTTTCATTGTTGTTAAGTGCTGATCAGTTTATTCCAACTCATAGCAACCCTGTACAGGGTTATCCAAGACTATATCTTTGTGAGAGCAAAAAACCTCATCTTTCTTCTAAAGAGTGGTTGGTGGGCTCAAACCACCAACCTCATGGCTTGCAGTCCTGTGCTTATCATACAGAGAGGCTGAGGCTGGCAGGAAGCTAACTCAGGGATACTCTGTCAAGCCTGTGCCCAAGCACTCTAGTGGTCCTGTAAACCCAACGCAGGGACACATGGGGGTGGGGTGACAAGAGAAGCATCAGGAGCTCACTTCTTTCTGTCCTTGGTGGTGGTGGTGTGCTGGGGAGTCGGTACGACTCATAGCCACCCCTATAGGGTGTCCGAGGCTATAAATCTTATAAGAGTAGAAAGCTGCTCTTTCACTCATAGAGCTGCTGGTGGATTCGAACTGCTGACCTTGCAGTTAGCAGCTCAAGCGGCACCCACTATGTTACCAGGGCTCCTTAGGAAATAAAATTTCATGTTTTGAGCAGGGGAACAGGAGTGAAGGGAACGGGGGAACACGGGGGGACATGAGGGAGCATGGGGGTGGGACGGGGAGAGACACACGGAGTGGGTAACACCAGGGTAGGTCTGAGTGGGGGAAGGGAACCAGGGTCTGGCTTGGGGTAGGGGGTGGAGATGAGAGCAGCAGCGGGGAAGGCGGGGGAGAAACCAGGCCTAACTCCTGCATCTATCTTCCTGCGGTGGCTGCCACCCTTGGCGAGGTCACTTAGAAGCCCCCAAACCCATTCTTCCTACCCCTTCAACAGGCCCAACCCTCTTACCCCGCGGGCCCAGGTCCTCGTCCCCTCCCCACCACTGGACCCTCCACTTCCTGCCCAACCCTTCTTCCACCCCACCCCCACCGTTCCCTCTCCTCCTGCCCCCAGCTCTCCGCCCCACCCTGAGAGACCTCCCACACCCTACTCCGCTCCTTCCCGCCCCCGCTCGGGCCTCGCCCTGGCCCCGCAGGGCAGGGTTTCCCCAAGCCGCCGCCACCCGCCCTGCCCGTGGCAGGTGCACTTCTCTCGGCCGACAGGTGCCCACCTTGTCCCGCAGATCCTCGATGGTCTTGAAGTAGTGATTGTAGTCACGGGAGGGACCGGGGCCTTGCTTCTGGTACCAGTCGCGGATCTTCACTTCCAGTTCGCCGTTGGCCTTCTCCAGGGCGCTCACCTTGTCCAGGTAGGAGGCCAGGCGGTCGTTGAGGTTCTGCATGGTGATCTTCTCGTTGCCCGCCAGCAGCCCATCAGACACGGCCAGTACGCCTCCATAGCCGCCGCCGTAACCCCCGGAGGAGGACGAGGACACAAAGCGAGCGGACGACACCGACACACCACGGCCGCCGGAGCCCCCGTGGATGCTGGGCGCACGGAAGGCACCGCCCGCCCCAAAGCGCACTGAGCCACCGCCCAGGCCCCCGAAGGAAGAGGAGGCTGAGGACTGGCGAAAGTTGTAGGAAGTCATGATGAGGCGGAGAACACGGGACGCTGGCCAGGGTCGCTGCGCTGGACTGTTAAGAGTGGCGGGCCTTCACCTGGCGCCTTTTATGCCCGCGGAGGGGGGAGGGGGAATGGTGTCTGGGGCGGACATCTGAGCTCCCAGGAATTTGCAGGCATGGGCCCTCTCCCCATTGGCCTGTGCCTGGTAACTCTTCCCTGGACACTCCCCTTCCAGGGACCAGAGGCCCCTGCCCTCCCAGAACTGCCCCCACCTACTCTAAACACACACCCTGGTTCCTGTCTCACAGATCGCAGTAGACACCCACACCCCTAGAATTTACATTCTGACTCTCACCCAATAAGAGGACCCTTGGGAATTACAGCCCTCCTGAGACCACACACTCTGAGCCTCCCAACCGCCCCCCCCTTCCTGGACTACCACCATGGTATCCAGGGACACTTCCTTATGATCAAAATCAAACATTCCACAAACCCCCCAAAACCAAAAGTACAATCACTAGAGTCCCACACTCACTCAAAGTTAGCCTGTCAGAACCCCTCCATTGACAAAGGCACAGTTTCCAACTCTGAACCGCCACCTCCCTGGCCTCTCCAGGACAAAGGGCCCCACCCTACTGCAACCATATAAAGCCCTCAGGCTCTGTCCCAGAATCAACCGCTGTAGGGAGCAGTGCTCCTACAAACACCTCCACAAGCCCGAGCTCAAATCTGACTCCCACCTAGGTGCTGACCCCCACTCAGGGGTTCTCACCCCTACCAGACAACCTCAAAAGCAAGCATCCATCACATATTTTGAACTTTACTAACATTCCTGTGATGAGAATGTTAGTAAGAGAGGCAACTAACTTGTCCATGAGGCATTTAGCACCTTCTATCTGGAGCTCTGGTAACTTAGTGGTTACTAATCAGGCTGTGAACCTTAAGGTCAGCAGTTCGAAACTACCAGCTGTTCTGCAGGAGAAAGATGAGGCTTTCTGCTCCCGTAAAGATTTACAGCCTCAGAAACCCTGTACAGGGTCGCTATGGGTCAGAAGTGACTCCACGGCACATAACCACCACCATAAGGAGCTCTGGTAGCATAATGGTTATGAGTCGGGGTGCCCACCTCAAGGTCAGCAGTTCGAAACTCCCAGTGGTTCCACGGGAGAAAGATGAGGTGTTCTGCTCCCAGAAAGATTTACAGCCTTGGAAACCCTATGCAGGGTCGCTATGAGTAGGAACCGACTCTACGCTACTTAACAACAACAACCCAAAGACACAAGATGGAAGTCCTGCGGGCTTGCTAGCAACTCCAAGAGGGCCTCCAGCTCTGTGTCCTTGGGCAACACACACGCATCCCAGTGTATGAATGAAGGAATGAACGCTTGAAGGAGCCAGCAAGAAGAGTGTTTGTTGTTACGTGCAGTTTGGTTCCAACTCATAGCAACACTGTATAGGGCTTCCAGGGAGGGACTGGTGAGTTTGCACCGCAGTTCAAACCGACCTTGCGGCTCAGTGCCTTATCCTACAGTGCCATAACAGGACTCAGGGAGCACGTGCAAGGATACTTAGCCACAGTGGAGTGAATCATCCTAGAGTAGAGGAAGGATCCCCTCCCCTCCCAATTCCATCCAGCCCCCTTTGGAGGGTCAGGCCTCCTGGCAGACACCCCAGGGGCTACAACAACATCACCCCAGCTCATGTTCTCCCTGACCCCACCACTCCTCAGGACTGTCCTTTGTCAGAGCAATCACCCACTCCTGGGTCAGAGGTCCTGTGCCCTTTTGAGAATGTATTCGAGAGATGAGCCAGTCACTCTCCATCTCCAGGCCTATTCCCCCTGTGCAATGAGGGGCATCCCACCTCAGCCCTCCTTTATATATGTGCTCACTGGACCACCTGTGACTAAATGAACACTTGTTCCCAGCCTCTGAAACCTAAGTCCCCAGCAAACTGTCTTCCAGCCACCAAGTTACCCGGGGGGAGGGAAGGGAGGGGGGAGAATGGGCAGGAAGTACACATCCACCTCTAACCCAGTAGGTACCACTCTAGTGAGTCTGTTGTACGACAGGTGTGCCCTGGAGCCCAAAGGGGAAAGAAAGCGTGCACCCAGGCTGCACCCAGGCGGCCCTGGAAGCAGGGTGTGGCATGGTGTTCACAGAGGTTGTAGCCGCCAGGGCTAGCCTGACTGAGTCACCCTCCTTATCTGGCCCAGAGGAGGAGACCTGCTCCCTGTGGGGGAAGGGGGAGATTGGCCAGATAGTTGCTATGCATACCAAGCCCCAGTCAGGGTTTGATTTTCAGGGTATTTGGTAGGAGACTTGTGTTAGGAAACAAAAAGAGGAACATTTCTACCCCCGTAATTAAGGGGAACTTGGGTCCCCAGTGGCGTCCTGATGTGGCATTCTAGAATAAACACTGGACCACAAGGTCAGTTTGAACCACAAGGTTCTTCAAACTCACCAGCCACTCCTACCCAGGGTCACTATGAGTCTATTCAGTAAACAGACTGTCTACCCAGGGGTCTCCTGTCTGCCCCTGTCCACATAAGGGCCAAACCTGACTTGAGAAGCTCCCTTCCAAATTCCTGGTTTTCAGGCTGAGGGTCATAGGTCTGGAGGGGGCGGGCACACAGTCAGAAGTGATGTGAGGGAAATATTAGCACTCAAAGGGATACCACTGCCCAACTTGCCCCCAACTCAACTTCACAGAACACTGGCCCCGTGAAATGCCCTATGGGAAAAGGAATCCACTGTCAGATACACTGAGAAACACCACTTATTCTGAGTCACAATGCATAGTACCAAAAGCTCTAAAAACCTCAGTCCTTCATTTATAAAGCTGTTGTTGTTGTTGTTGTTGTTGTTGTTGTTGTTGTTGTTGTTGCTAGGTGCCGTTAAGTCAGTTCCAACTCATAGCAACCCTGTGAACAACACAGCCAAACACCGCTCTTTCTTGAGCCATCCTCATAATTGTTGTTACATTTTAACCCATTGCCACTGTGTCAATCAATCTCCTAAAGGGGTCTTCCTCAATTATTCTGACCCTCATCCTTACCAAGCATGATGTCCTTCTTCAGGGACGAGTCCCTCTTAATAACCTGTCAAAAGTATGAGAGACAGAGTCTCGCCATTCTGGCTTCTAAGGAGCATTCTGGTTGTACTTCTTCTAACAGATTTGTTAGTTCTTCTGGAAGTCTGTGGTACTTTTAATATTCTTCTCCAAAACCATGATTCAAATGCAAAACCATTTAATATTCAAATCCAAAACCATGATTCAAAACCATGATTCAATTCTTCTGTGGTCATCTTTATTCATTGTTCAATTTTCTCATGCATATGAGGCAATTGGAAATACGATAGCTTGAGTCAGGCACACCTTAGTCCTTAAATTGATATCTTTGCTCTTGAACACTTTTAAAAGGCCTTGTCTAATTAGCAAATTTGTCTAAATGCAATATGTCTTTTTGACCTCTTGACGGCTGCTTCTATGAATATTGATTGTGAACCCAAGCAAAATGAAGGCTGACAACTTCAATCTTCTCTCTATTTATCATGATGTTATTTACTGATCCAGTGGGAGGATTTCTGTTTTCACTACATTAAGGTGCAATCCATACTGGAGGCTGTGGTCTTAGATCTTCATCAGTATTTCAAGTTCTCTTCACTTCCAGCAAGAAAGGTTATATAATGTTCATATCACAGGTTGTTAATGAGTCTTCCTCCAATCCTGATGCCATATTCTTCTTCTTATAATCCAGCTTCTCAAATTATTGCTCAGTATATAGATTGCGTTGCTGTTTTTGTTAGGTGCCATCGAGTTGGTATTTACTCATAGCAACCCTGCGCACAACAGAACGAAACACTGCCCGGTCCTGTGCCAACCTCACAATCAATTTCAAGCTTGAGCCCACTGCTGCTGCCACTGTGCCTGCCAATCCATCTCATTGGGAGTCTTCCTGTTTTTCTCTGAACTTCCATTTTACCAAACATGATATCCTCCTCCAGGGACTGGTCCCTCTTGACAATATGTCCGAAGTACGAGAGACAAAGTCTGGCCATTCTGGCTTCCGAGAGCATTCTGGATGTACTTCTTCAAACACAGATTTGTTTGTTATTTTGGCAGTCCATGGTACTTTTAATATTCTCTTCCAACACCATAGCTCAAGCGGATCAATTCTTCTACAGTCTTCTTATTCAGTGTCAAACTTTCCCATGCATATGAGGTTATTGAAAATACCATGGCTTGGGTCAGGCACACTGTAGTCCTCAAATTGATTAAGTATGATAAAAAGATACAACCCTGGCACACCTTTTCTGATTTTAAACCATTCAGTATCCCCTTGTTCTATTCAAACTACTGTGTCTTGGTCTATGTACAATTTCCTCATAAGCACAATTAAGTGTCCTGTAATCCCCATTCTTCACAATGTTATCCATAGTCTGTCATGATCCACACCGTCTAAAGACTTTGCATAGTCAGTAAAGCACAAGTAGACCTCTTTAAAGTGTCACTTTGAGAACTAAGGTGATCCTGACCCAAATCACGCTCTTTTCAGTTGCCTCATATGCATGTGAAAGTTGGGCAATGAATACAGAAGACCAAAGAATTGATGCCTTTGAGTTTATGGTGTTAATGAAGAAATTTGAATATAAAATGGACTGCTAAAAATAGAAAAACTTTGCTTCAGAGTAGTACAGCCAGAATGCTCATTAGAAGCAAGATGGTAAGATTTCATCTCACATACTTCGGACATGTTATCAGGTGGGACCAGTCCCTGGAGAAGGATGTCATGCTTGGTGAAGTAGAGGATCCTGGTGTGGTGCTGCAAGATAATGCACTAGACCACAAGGTCGTGGGTGGTTTAAACCCATCAGCCTATCCTCAGAAGCCCCATACAGGGTCACTATGAGTCAGAACCAGCTCGATAACACTTAACAACAACAAAAAGGTAGAGAATCACTGAAAAAGAAGAAGACCCTCAGTGAGATGGACTGACACTGTGGTTACAGCCATTGTAGTGATGATGACAGTGTTTCCTAACGTCACCAT